AGCAGCTCCAGGAATCAGGACTGAAGCCCAGAGCCTATCATTCCAGGACAGACAATGTTCTTGGGAGGGAAAAAAAAATGCAGAGGAAAAGGTTGGAGAGATGGCTCCGCAGATAAAGGATCTTCCTGATCCTGCAGGGAGCAGGAGTTGAGTTCCTAATACCCACACTTGAGAGTTCATAACTATGGGGATCAGATAGATGTCTCTGGCCTCCAGAGCACTTACAGTCATGTGTGTGTGCACACACACACACACACAACTAAAAACAATAAAAGTAAATAACTAAAAAATAGCAAAGGAAGGTAGGAAGAATGCCTTCTGAGTCAGGCAGGAGATTGTAGAAGCCCAGCATGAGCAGCTGAGGGGCCCTGGTAGAAGGGCAGGAGCCCATCAGTCTGGAGCACTTTTCTCCCATAGAGGAGAAGGAAGTGAGCCAGGCAGGTCCACTGCCAGTCTGATGTAGGGAGTCTGAGCTGAAGAGGATAAAAAGTGTTGACTCTAATTCATAAAGTCTCATTTGCCTGAGAGGAAATTTAAAGTCACTAAAAGACTCAGAACAGACATGGTAACACCCCCCAAAATTGATAGCCCACCACTGCCAAAGTACCTATCACACCAGAAGAAATAACAATCACTGGGAAAAGTCTGACTGGCTCTTTTCAGCCTTCTTCTTTCCCTTAAGCTGGCATTTATATTTCTGCATCGCCTTGTCATCCTTAAAAAACCTCCCAATGGAGTGGAGACTAGAAGGGGAAATGTAATTAGCATAGCTGCTTCCTCATTAGTTTTCATACCAGGACTCCATGGTGCTAGTGGTTAGTGTAGCATATAGCTCTTTCTCAGAACGATGGCAAGTCAGATGAAGAAAATCACAACAGAATTCCATTCTACAGCACATCTTAAAAGTGGAATTTGTAAATCCATTTACCACAGCAAAGGACAAAAGCAATGATATCCAGGCATCCTTAAGTGGCATGTCTTAAAAGATATATTCATCGAGGAAAACTAACTCTAATGGAATTTCCTCTCATTACTTAAAATAAACCAGGTCACTGAGATGGGATGTGGTATGGTATTTTGTTCATTTTGATTTCAGTTTAATTTCATCAAATCATAAATTCCCATGAAAATACCTTAGGCATATGCCTGCAGTCACTGTAACGCCCAGCGTTTCAGTATATGTGCTTTTGCATGATTTTAAACAAAATAATAAAAAAAAAAAATTGTGAGCATATTGCTCCAAGTTGTTTTTTTTAAAAAAACTTATGTCAATAGCTTTAAGTATGAATTATCTCCGTGGCTATAAACTGCACGTATAAAATATATTGTATGATCTGATGGGAAATTTAACTCGGAAGACTAAGTTAAAGGCCTAACCTACGCACTTCAAAATTAAGCTAACTTCCTAGATTACAGCAATGATCTTTTTTCCTTCCCAAAACCACTGAAGTTAAATATACCTCGATGTATTAAGTTCAGCTGTAACTACAACTGTAATATACGTTCCACTGAACCGTGACCTGTTTTCTCGTTTCAAAAGTGAAAGGGGAATTATGACAGTTATGAGACTTACATTTTTTCCATTCTAGGATCCTTCTGAAAGTTTATTTCACACTAGAGCTAAAAGCAAAATGCACTTCATGACATTTATTTGCTTTGCAAAAATATTTATTTATGTTACTTACGGCTCATAAGACAGCATTTCAATTAGTCACTGATAACAATTATAGTTTTCATTTGCTTTCAAAGTATACAGACCAAGGGACAATTGGCAAGGAAAAATATCAGTATGAAACATGATGCCTAAGTTTAAAATTCAATTATAACTACATGCTATATTTACTTACAAGACAACACCAATTCACACAAGTACAAAATTAACATATATAAATAAATGTGGTTTAAAATACCCACCCCTAGCAGAGAGCTTTTTGGTGTTGATAATTTTGGCAGCATACTCTTGTCCAGTAGGGATTTTCATACATCTTCTCACCACTGAGAATGCCCCCCTGGAAACCAATAATTAGCAAGTCAGCAGTATAATCAGATCTAGTATCCACTTAGAAACTTACACGAGCATATTTATGGGTCTTTAGCAGTCTGTCAAATAGCAATATAATAAGAGCACTATCTAGAAATTCTTGCTGGCAAACCCAGATCCTTCTTAAATGCTGATAAATAAAAATAATTTTTGACTGGAAACACATTATTAATCAACAAAATAAATGGAAATGCCAATTATGACCACTCTTGTTTGCACATGAAATTTGAAAACATTTCATAATTCACACTCACAAAACACCAAATGCTCATAGCAAACCCTGCAAAGAGCAGAGACGAGGAACAGGGAGAAAAAAAATCTGCTGCCTGTTTATTTCGGTAGGGAAAATAATTAACATGGCTCCAAGTAAGTAAATATGGCGATTGTTTTCATTAAAACATAAATCTGGGGCTCACTGGTGTGCTTTACCAGATCCTGGGGTAAGGTGATTTCTCTCTGCCTGGTTTGGGCTGGGGGAGGGGAGAGATTTGAATTAAGCTGCTCTTCCGACATGTCTCCATGTTTCAACAGCAGATCATCTATAAAGATATCATTTTCATTCCATTTAAAATGCTTACACTTCCTTTTATGCAAGTGTAGGAACCTACAGCACACACACAAATGCATCTTTTCCCTAGTAGTTGAAATTAGCGACAGAGGAACTGGTTTGGTGTTGGATGCTTGGTAAATCAGCATTCCTGGCTGGGTCTCTGGTCGCCCCTGTACAGATCTTCTGTCGGTAGGTACCGTGTCGTGTCCCTCCTTAACATCTACAAGAAGTTCTGGCACTTAAGTGGAGGAGGTCATTTTACACAACCACAACGCTAGGCTACCCTTGGGAAGCGCTTTCCTGAGCTCCAGAGGGCTTTTCCGCTGCCTAGATAAATAAATCTTCTCAGGAAAGATGTACACGTACTTAAATCCTATAAGAATGATGGTGAGCCAGTCATTTAGTGCAAAGGGTAGCGGATATGGGGCAGGGGCGTGGGTGCTGCTGGGTGGCCCTTTTCCTGGACAGAACAACTACTTGGATGCCGAACCAGACTCTCCACCAAGCCAAGTTGAACTTTCGGCATCGATAAATATGGCACCATCTCTGAGAGCCAGTGCTCATCAGCTCATCGGAACCTGGGTCGGACGGCAGACACACCGACCCCGGGCTGAGCAGGATGACACCTATTTACCAATGTTGCATTTTGCATGCATCTCCTTTCCTCTCAGAACACACACACACACACACACACACACACACACACACACACACTCGCGTGCGCTCACACTTCTCAGGATGACAGCTACAACTGCAGAGATCGTAAATTCTCTAAGTCTCCCGTGGAGAGGTGGAGGACCCGAGGAGGGTGGACTGGGGTATCGGGGCACCCGCCACAGCGGGGCAGAGGTTTCCTCCCCTCTCTGCCCCACCCGCGTCAAGCCAGGGGTCCGTCACCCCGTCTCGGCCTGCGGGGTCCCTCTCCCCACTCCCCACGAGGAAGACGGGGGGGGGGAGGGGGGTCGCGGGGGGAGATGCCAGGCAGGGACGCTTACTTTCCGAGCTCCTCGAAGAGCTGATACTCGTCGGTGAAGCGGGTGCAGGTGGTGGTCGAAGCCATGGCCGGGTCTGGACAGTGCGCCGCTGGGAGCGAGCGCGACGGACGACACGCGAACAGACGCGGCTTCCCGGGACTGGCGCCGCCGCGCTGTCACCCGGGGCCGCCCTCACTTTCCTTGTCCGAAAGTAGCTCGCCCGCGAGGGAGTGCGCGCAGGGGCGGGGCGCGGGGCGAGGTGGCCAGACCAGCCCGCGCCGCGATCCCTCCTCCTTCTCCTCCTCCTCCTCCTCCTCCCGCCGCGGCCGCGGGGCACTGCGCTCCAGAAGGGGTCGGGGGGCCGGCCGGAGGGGGTGGCTGCTGACACCGGGGCCGCAGAGTGACAGCCGGGCCGCAGAGCGAGCTCAGCGCAGCGCCCGGGGCGACGG